AGAAGAAGGGTTTAAGCTTTAGTTGCAGAGCTGCATTTGAATATGCCGTTTTTCTTCTGCTTCTGATTCAAATCTTCACCATCAGCTCTTCTCTCTGTTCCGCCCACGACCATTTCGGAACAACGGTACTTCTTGGCTCCATGTCCCACTCTGTTTCTGAAATATCCGCCATTAAAGAGCCCAAGAAAGCTATGGAACAGAGCTTCAGAAACCTGCCACCCACGGGAGCAAATCCCATCCAGAATTAGCTCACATGTCCCATCTGGAGGATGATGAATATCCCATATCGACTAATTTAAAAAATGATCATAGATTTATAATCAAATAATGATTTCTCCATGTTGGAAGACGTTGTATTGTTGGAAAATCGAGTGTACAATAATGTTGTTTGAGTTCACAACTTTTCTTCTTTTTTAGGTTTTTTAATTGGGTTATTATTTCGTTTTAATTGCATAAATTGAGGATAATTATTCAACTACTAATTTAATAATAATAACTATATTCGTATAATTCAGTGAATAATATACTTACTAATATTTTATTTTATTTAAATAATAAATCATTATAAAATTAACATCTAAAATATAAAACCAAAAAGAAAAAAGAAAAAAAAGTCGAAAATTAGTATAATTAGATAATTAGGGCGAGCTGCTTTGGTATGGGCTTGAATTATGGGCCTACCCGAAAGAAAAAGCCCATCCGTAATGAATGATTTAGGTAACAATATAATAATAATAATAATAATATATTTTAATTATTAGTTAATTTTGTATAAATATTAACTCTTAATTAACTAGACTTACAAAAATGTGGAATTATATTCCATAAACTTTAACTCCCGAACTCATTTATATTATTGGTTTAAAGAGGTTAAAAAGTAATTAAGAATTTAATTAAACTCCTAATTAAGAAAAATAGGGAGAGAATAAAATCCCAAGAAAATAATTTTATGCCTCACTTTTTCTTACATGAAGGAATTGGATTCTCCATGAAATTACCCAAAAAAAAAAAAAAAAAAAAAAAAAAAAAAAAAAAAAAAAATTGCTCAAGAAAGNAGATTCTTTCCAAATCCACACCCTTCTTTTTTATAATTTTAAATTTTAAATTTTAAAATTAAAACAAAAAGTATATTAAAATATTTGACCGGTCTATCTTATGTGATCCACTCCCATCACTTTCAAAACTCTTCGTCCAACCCAAGTTAATTATTTACCACAGTTTTATCAAATCATCTGGAGCGTTCGTTATAGGAACGTTAGTCGAAAATTGATATGGCGGTGACTTGAAACGAAAATATGTCTGGTTGGTATAGATATTAATTTTCAATTTTTTTTAATCATTGTCATATTATTAGAATAACTCTTATTTATGTTGATTTATGTACTTTTTTATTTACTTTCATGTCACGTGCTCGATTATTTATATTAAGGTTTTTTATGATTTCATAAAATTGCTTAGTCACACTTGTTGTGTGTGTGTGCAATTATTAAGACACGTCTATACGTGTCAAGTGGGTGCCTGACGTTAAAAAAATGACCAAGATACTCTCACACTCTACCTTCACTTTTATCATGGACGACCACCGTCTATGCCACTTAGACGTTGTCCATCTCTAGTGATTATCTGTAACAGTCCAAGCAAACCGCTAGCAGAGGTTAACTGCTTTTAACCCATCACGATTTTAAAATGTATACTATGGAAAAGTTTTCACACATTTATAACAATGTTTCGTTTCCATCTTCAACCCACATGAGATAACACTCTACGGTCTACCACCAATCTTCAATGACCATTGTCGTTGTCCATTTCCAGCAACCACTCCAACGACTCTCTAATGCCAGATTTTTAATACGAGCATAAATTCATTAACTTACAACATTTTATAGTCGTCATTTACAAGCCGAACAAGGGACCAAAAAAAGTGAACCATTTAACAGAACCAAACCCACAGGCAGACTCTGTGTCTCTTCCACTGTCTTTTGATTTTTGGTCACTCTTTTGGCCTTTCCGACATGAGGAATTGTCTGTACTGTTCAATTAAACGACACCGTATAATCCCAAAAAAGCTGGAAAACAGAATCACTACCAGCCAACCTCCAAAATGAAACTTGAAAGCGATGCATCCATCCAAAGTCTCTCTCTCTCTCATTATTCTCTCTATTTTTTATTTTTTTAAAAAAATATGAAAATAAAAAGTGAAAGCACAGTTTTCTATTCTAACTATAATCTGTTCATAGTATCATCATTTCGTTTTTTTTTTTTTTTTTTTTTTTTTTTTTTTTTTTTTTTTTTTTTTTTTTTTTTTTGCTTTT